TTTCATGTGCCAATTTATGGCCTAGTTATGTAATTGTGCAGTAAATATGTAGAAAACCTAAAAATTTCCCAAAAAACACAGCATTATTGTATAGTTGAGAAGTGAATTAAAAAAATTATATATAGTTTTCCATATAAAAAAATTATATTTCCTTATGCAATCACTCTTTAAAAGTTTGGGGTCAATACGACCCCAAACCACTTAAGCGTCGTTCGATAAACTATCAGTTATAATTATAATAAGGCACTATATGACTGTTATCAGTAAAATAAAATTAACAAAAGTCATTAAGTCATTAAAAGTCAAAATCTTAATACAGAGGAGAATGCTTTTACACTGCAAATACAATTGCATAAAAGTCGTTATGGAATGATGGAATCAATTAAATTGTATCTTTAAATATGAAACTAAAACAGCCAGTAGGTGGCGGTCACTGGCTGTGTCCGAAATCTCCACTCAAACCACTACTCCCTAACCCCTATGTAGGGGGTAGGGAGTAGAGCACTATATAGTGAGCTCACCAGCATAATAAACACACTTTCGGACACTACTCGATCGTCTCTCGGCGCCGTTGATTAAACGCGCCATCATCTGTCAGCTGGTGCCGAGCCAGATCTGGGCTAAATAGATTTTTTTTAATATAAATAAATTCCATTATATTGAGCTTTTTTCTCCAAAATTGTAAAATTAAAAGTCATTTCTGGCCGTTTCTGTTATAATGCGTTACTCCACACATGATTATAACTTAGAAGAAACATAAATAAAATTAATACACATATTTCATATATTTTCATTTTCGCGCCACACCGTTTTCTCTTGCCTGTCGACATTAGGAAAAAAAAAACAGATCTACGTTATCAAATATCTTGCTCATAATACTCTTAATAAAACAGCTTTTAGACTCTGTGGAGATGCCACTCAATATTTATCTTTTTTGTTTGTTTGTTCTCGTGATTCAGAAGATTTTGCGGATTAGCAAAAGAAACAGGATTTCTAGACACAGAAAACGACGTGCTGTTCTTGCTATGCTAGCGAGACGTCGTCAAATTGTAAGTTAAAGATGAAGATGAATGATGCTGATAGGTCTTTTACGATCAGCGCAATGCATGATGGTATGTAGGGCTTGGGTTAGTGACCATCGGTTGTACACTACTTTTCAAAATGCATTCTGGGATACATTGAGTGGACTATATAGGGTATAATAATCATCACTATACATTCGGACAGCACTACAAAATGGCGAGCTCACTATATAGTCCACTATATAGTGAGTAGTGGGAGATTTCGGACACAGCCACTGTCTAAACGAGTGAGTCATCATTAATTCCGATTCATTCAAATACTGATTCATTCAGTTCAGGGGAAAACACCACCTGTTACTGTTAAACTGTACAGCTCAAGGAGCAAAATTATGGGCTGAAAAAAATCTGAGCTGAAATGCTGTAAAAAAAAAAAAAGAAATTATGAAACGCGAATGTAAACCGTGTATTGAGTCGCGTTTCAAACTCATTGATCAATATGCTTGCGTAGGAGTCAGTGAAATGTGTGCTGGTTTCTCTCCGCGTTCTGCGCTGGTGTGCGAGTCTCATCAACAATAAACGCAAGCTCTTATCAGCCCCTATCCACCGCGTTTACATTGTTATTAATTGTGGATACTTTCATGCGCTTCCATGTCCAAGTGTCTGCTATCAGACCCGTTGAAGTGCAGTTTCTGTTCATGTGTGACGTGTGTTAACCCTATATAGCCTACCCTACATACAGTTAGGGTGATATACATGACTTAAAATGTGATATTGTCCGCACACCTCTTGCGTTTCGTTTGGTCACACACCACAAGGTGTAACTGTGGCCTCAAAGCTTCAGCACTGCCACTCTGAGCTCGATTGCTGATGTCTGAGGTAAAACACGCCCCCCTCATTAGCATACGGACAAAGAAATGTCGAAATAAATAAATGTGGAAATAAATAAATGTACAAATAAATAAATGTGAAAATAAATAAATGTAGACATAAAAACATATATACATAAATGAATGTGGAAATAAATAAAAGTGGAAATAAATAAATAAATGTATAAATAAAAAAATAAATAAATGTGTGAAAAAATACAATTATACATAAATAAGGAAAGAAAAGTATAAATACTCATTTATTTGTACTTTTTTTACATTTCTTTGTATATTTATTTATGTATTTTTTGCTTTTTTACATTTATTCGTATATTTATTTATGTATTTATTTATTTTTAATTAAGTCAGCTTTGGCTATGCCTGTGATGTGTTTATGTGTCTGTCTCTGTTAAACAGAGAATGTTTTATTACAGTTTTTATTATTATGAGTGCTGGGTAAAATTTGATGTAAGATTTTGAGTTTTATGTTTGTATATTGTATATGTGAAACTTTTTGTGCTGCCATTTTGGCCAGGACTCCCTGGAAGAGGAGATTTTTATCTCAGGGACTATCCTGGTAAAATAAAGGATAAATAAAAATAAATAAAATAAACAGTACTTTTTAAATATTTATATCATATATTATCTCAGGACAGTGCGATACTCCTATGGAGGTAATAATCTTTATTGTGTTTGTTTGTTGTAGGTTTATTTCTGTTCTTCATTTACTGTATACCTTTTCAAAGTCTATTTGTTAGTTATTTTATGTTGACTTTTTTAATGTTGACTCAACAAGCTTTGCTACAAAAATTCCTATACTTGTAGAATACTAGTACTGGTACAAATAGCAAATAAAACTTGCTCCATCGGAGGGGTGGATGGTGAATATTAAAGAAGACATGTAACAAACCACTGTTGTGGTAGTCTACTTTTATTTCGTTTTTTTTTTTTTCTCTATTTTGAAGATTGAAGGCACAGTTAATTGTCCTTATATGGAAAAGAGTTGTATGGTCATTAGTCATTTTGTTCTCTAGATGGCAGTGTTCACTTGATCTCAGAATAAGAGAACACCGTCCGTGACACCATTTATATCTTGTACTCTGCAGTTATTTTAGTACAGAGAGATACTGTTATAGGTTTTATTTATATTTTAAATTGGTTTTTGACTTTTATATAACGTTATACGTTTAAATTTGAGTTTTTTTAATTCTTTTTTTAAGTCTTTATATAGGCTAGTTTGTTCTATATTTGATTCACTTATTCAAACTGAAGAAAAAAAAAAGCTTTTATTTTCAGTTAACTATAATAGCCCTATAGTACTTTTTAAATAAAATGTAGACCTTAATTGCCAGACACATCATAATTAGTGATTAGGAATGACCCTGTGTAATATAAATGTTGTCTTTCCTCTATTTAGCTCTAGTGTTTTTTTGCTGCGTGTGGCCTCTTGAAACCAGCTGATCTTTGGAATGCGGGGGTCACCATGGAAACCTTAAAGACCTGAATGAAAGCAGGCTGTTGAGCAGCACCACCCCCAGTTCTCTGGACTCCCTCTCCAAGGGCTGGATGGTGCTGCGGGATGATGTCATGCGGTCGGGAAACAGAGGGAACAGTGGGAGATGACCTGGGCAGAGAGAAAGTCAGAGATCGAAGGTCATGTTAATATGATCAGAGCAGGGGTCAGCGGCTGCAGACAGCACACCGCTTTTTTCCTGAAGACTCTTAAGAGGCTGAAATGGTCCAGACAGCGGACAGCTTTTTTGCACAATGAATGCAGAGAATAATCCCTAACGGCCTGTCATGACCTCTAACAGACCCCTAATTACCCCACACACAAACACATTCAGGACAGCTCACATTAAACTCCTATTTTCTTCCTGAAATGTCAATCACTGTAATTGAAATCTTTGATTTGACTGTTTGATTCATTATTCTGCAGTATGATCAGATGTTTGGGTGGATAATAATGTTAAGGCAGTCGTCTCCGCTGCCCTATAGGCTAATGTAATCTCAGACAGGTTGATGCTGATCTTGATTTAGTAATCTGCTTGTTTTGGATTTAATCGGACCCAGGCAGGTTGAATGTTATTGCCCAAAGAAGAGGAAACCCTGCAGAAGTAAAGAAAAAGGAGGATGACCAAGATGTGAGGACAATCTCCTATTTCTGCACTATTTGCACATGTGTTAAATCATGCTCTGCACTCTCACAATATTGCACTATAAATAACCATAATTTCATCCAAAATAATGCATATACTGCAGATATTGTTACTGTTCTAAAATCATAATATGAGGTCTCCTTCAAGCAATGTAAAGTTTCAGAATCTTGTCAGTTTGTTTGAAAATATTAAGGTTTCAGGATCTTATTGCATTTTTTTTTTGTAAAATGTTTCATTATCTTTGTTATTGTTTATTTATTTGATATGATTGTGGTAGGAAGGTTTCAACCTCATCATAGTCCTAAAATAATAAAATAAATATTGTATTATTTTTACGACTAATAAGGTTACAAGATCCTTGTTTCATTTTCATGAAAAGAAAGTTTTAATGATCCATATCAATTGTAATTGTTTGTTTGTTTGTTTGTTTGTTTGTTTGTTTGACAATGGTGTCTAAATAACACGTTGCCGCAGTTTTACTGAATACAAACAATAATTATCAAATTTTTTTTTTTTTTTTTTTTCGGGGGAAACTTTTGCTTCCATGGTGAACTTTTGTAGTTCCGCAACAAGCGTTTTACAATGGTCTTCGTGCATGACCAATAACAAGCTCGCTCGTAGTAAAACCAAGAGTAATTAATGCATTTTACACTTTAAACTTAAATGCATTCTTCCATTGGAGCAACAAAAAGCATAAGATACAGCGATAAATTCCCACATTACACACAGAGTATTGTTGTGTATCAATTTAAAGGATGGTCATACATATTCATGAATGGGAGGAGGGGGATTTTGTGTTCTAGGTTATCACCACAGACAATCAGAGTTTTACAGGTTTCTCTCGCTATTGAGTTTTTACCGTGCATTGATTGTTTTCGACGAAAAAATGCCACGTATTTAAAACAGTAGTGATGTATGTAGTAGTTGTTCGCGCGAAATAATGAACCCACCCCCCTCGCAGTGGTAATTTGGTTTAGTCTGATCTACTGCTCCGATTCTCTCATCATCAGTCAGTCAGTCAGTGAGCGCGCGCGCGTGTTTATGCGAGTTGTACTATAACAGCATCAGCCCTCAAAACAAACAAACACTCGGGATTTTTATAGGAGGTAAGTGTTTTTCCCACATCTTCTAAAAGCCTACATTTGTAATTGAAAGTCTAATGGACTAGTACGTATATTTAAGTTTATAGCCTATATCTATGACTACTTTAATTAATTTGTTTGTTAATTTGTTTCTTGACGGGTTTTCCCTTCTGCAATATTTCTAAAGTAACGTTAACGTTATTCCACAACTAGTCCTTATTTTCTGGTCGTTTTTCACGTATTAAGTTTTCTTTTTCTTAACAGTCATTAAAGTTGATTTTATCTAATGTATTGCAAAATATTCCATTATTGATTTGATTTTTACAAATATATTAATACTTCTTAATCTGATTTATTATCAAACACTCTGTCATATTCTGATAATTTTTGTAAATATTGAGCATTTTTCTCTATATATGAACTTTAAAGTTGAACTTTCCATAGAGACCACTCCACTGTTGTTTGTAATATAGAATTAGTGCAGAACCTTTGGTTAACTTTTCATTTGATATATCATTCTGTTATTCTAAATCTGGAAGTTAGCCTGATTTCTGTGTTTCTGAAAGTGATTTTGAAACTTGGTATCTACAGTTATTTTCCCACCCATCAAGTTGCACTGCATGCTCTTTCATATAAATGGTGAGATTGTGGTGTATGAGGACTCTAGTACAGACATTGAGCTGGTTTTAATGCACAAGACTAAATATGGTTCATAGATGGGGGAAATTTATATATATATATATATATATATCATCAAATGCATTTGAATGAACTTTTGTTGTTGTGTGAACGGTTCAGAAAGGAAAGCAGTTTGGAATTTAATTGCGGATATAACAGACTCACCCTCTGACAAGTCTAAACACGAATGCACATTCAACGGGCAGAGAGGTATGATGGTATGACTAGATGAGTGATTTTTTTTTTCCCCCAGAGCCATAGGTGAGTGAAAACCGGCTTTTGACTGGTCCTCGGATCCTAGTAGTTGTTGAAGCCTTGTGGTTGCCATTGGGCAATAACTCAAGGTTTCTTGAGGAACTTCATTTCGCTTGAAGTGCCTGTTGTATTGCTTAAATACACCATCACTGGTCTCCATTTTTTCCTTGTCAAACGAGCTCATCATGCAGCGCAACCTGTTACCCCGAGGCTTATCTGCATCTGTTTTCTCTGGAATTGTGCTGTAATTGACACACAACTCTTCAGAGAGGTGTTCAGAGACACGACAGGGGAATTGAGAACTCCTTAAGCACATAGCCGCAGTCTGTTGTGTTTTTGGAACAGCGTGGTTGTGCTGAAGATTTATTCTTGCTTTGAGGCTGAAGTGATCCTCCTTTATCAGTGCTTACAGAGTAAGTGACTTTTCCCGTCTGAAAAATGCATGCTTGAAGATTGATTTACAGCTGTTGTTCTGCACATCTAAAAGTTTGGTGTTTATAGTGTGACAATATTATTCAACTAAACAAACATTCAGTTCTATATAAACAAAATGAATCAAATCAAATTGAGAGAAAATGCATTTATTTACCCTAATATTTTTCATCAATTTTTGACACTATTGTTCCAAAACTGTTTGAGTTTCTTTTTTCCCATATATGTTCAAATTCTAAAGAATTTTCCATGCCCTTTTTCCTGCAACTGCTACTATAAACGTAAACCAAAGCTTTCAAGCTTCAAAACCGATGCAGAAGTATCGTGAATTAAACCTGTGACTTGGTTGCGAAGTCTTACGATAACTTATAAACATATGCTATTTAGTTATTCACTAAATTTCTTGATGTTAGTTCATGGAAGACGTAGGAATTATGCAATGAATCTATTGGTTTGATTTTTATCTGGTTCCCAAAACCAGTCTGAATGATTTCTTCACTAAATGACTTATGTGGTTCCTTGGTTACACTTTATTTTAAGGTGTCATATTGTTACAGTGTAATTATATATTTACTGAGTAATATTAAGCAACTACATGTACTTACTATAGGGTTAGGGTAGGATTAGGATTTTGGTTGCATGTAATTATGTATAATTTACTGTTATTATTACTATGGTAAGTATATGTAACATGTAACAAGGACACTGTAAAATAAACTGTTACTGGTTCTTCATTTCAGCTGATTCGATTATTTGATCACGCAGTGGTTAACCGACTTAAATTTCATTCTGTTTCCCAATTCCCACACAAAGTTGATGCTTTAGTTCAGGGTGCCCAATCCTGTTCCTGTAGATCTACCTTCCTGCAAAGTTCAGTTCCATCCCTGATCAAACGCAACCGAACCAGCTAGCTAAGATCTTCACGAGCCCTTAATAATCACAGACGGGTGTGTTGGATCAGGGTTGGATCTGAAGACCCTGCAGTCGGGAAGATCTCCAAGAAGATTGGGCACCCCTGCTTGATGCCCAGTACACATTGTACGATTTTGTGCTGTCCCAGACGAAAGATGACCAATCGTGGTGATTTCTGTGGTCGTTGCTCCTAAACAGTGGTTCTGCTGCGTCATACAGTGAGAGAGTTTTAAAGACGGCCGTTGTCACGGTCTTGCTACCAACGATATCCTGCGATCATTTTCTGACGGTGTCAATGTTACAATGTGTTTGCTGCTACGACCTACGTCTACTGACTATAGCCAAAAAAATACTGCAACATGAAATGACGTATTGATCAACAAAACATGGCGCTAAAACTTCTTGCCTCAAGCTCCATTTACAAATTTGGCATGCCAAGTTGGCTTCTTTTCCCAAGCCAGGACCGCGTCCATTTTCTCCTCTTTCACGTCCTCATCTTTTTTTCAGTACACATGAAAACCACAATTGCCAAAGTGAGATTCATCTTGCTCTTTTTGTTTACCACTAGCGCATGCTGATTACGTTTTATTCTTCTGTACTAATAGAATTTTAAATCTATTAATTTAATTTTCCCGACTGCCTCTGTAGTCCCATTTAGCCACTTGTTAGCAACTGCCTTTTTCAAGACACGTTACAGCTTCAAAAAATCACGAGTGGGGTAATACCGATGTATTTTATGTTGTAGAATAAAACGTGAAAGTGTCTTGAGCTTGTGTTCACCACAAACCTTATTTCAGCCATTTAACCAAAATCCCATTTAAAAAAAAAAAAACCTTGACTTCAGGATGATGTTAAAATGCTCACTCGTTTTTTACATTTTGGCCTTCAAAGTGACATCATACGTGCATCACTCTATACTGTAGGTGTCATCGTACATATATAGCCTAATGATCTAATATGATTGCTGAAATCGCAGTCAGTTGCAGGCATTGATTAATGAGATTGTTGATGTGATACTGGATCGAATGCATTCTTTTTTGAGGATTGAAACTGAAGCTTGTTATTGAATTGAACAGTGACAAGCACAGTCTTCATAATTGTGTTGCATGGACGAAAGGGACGCTGTAAAAAAATATCCTGTTAAATTTACGGTAAAAACTGGCTGCTGTGCCAGAAACTCACTGTAAAAATAAAGTGTCAATGTTTCCAGTTTTACAGGATGCCTGCATATTGTACAACGTATAACAGTATATTTCATTTAGTGATATTATGCTAATATACCTTCTTAAATACCGAAATCTGCCCTTTCACCTTAAAATGATAAGCACCACAATAATTCTGGTGGCACAATAGAAAGCCACATGCTAATCAGAGTTCATTGTGAGCGGCCTGCTCATAAAACATGGTCAATACAGGATCATACAGAAAAAACTCCATCAGGGTAACACACACGACACTGGAATAACTAAAAAAAACGAAATAACTGAATGTAACACAAAACACACTAATGTACGCAACTGATTACAAAAACAAGAAAGGACAAAATTATTTATAAAAATGTAATCATATGTGATGTGTAATGCAGGGACTTTTGGTAATGTGTTTTTTTTTTACCATAAATTATAGTTTTTATTTGCAAAAGCCATAAACTGACTATATTTTACAGTAAAATCACATGTAATTTGTGATTTTTTTAAAAACTATTTACAGTTTTTCTCCGTATATGGTAAGGCACCTTGCAGTTAATCAATTTAATGGAGCATTTTTACAGTATTTTCCCCCCCGCAGTGTTTGGAACTGTTATTTTAGGTTTGATTCATATACTATTATAGTTTGCATTAATATTTTGATTTAGATTTTTTTTTTTGTTATGTTGTTATTTAGGTTTCATTTTTTTGTTTCAGTTTTATTTATTTATTTCCAGTTAGTAATTTTAGAGCTTAAAATTATTTCAACTTAACTCAACTTAAACATATTTATTAATAAAGTTTTTTTCTAATAGCTGTATTTCAATGAATTAAATTTTTTTTTATTAGTTAACAATAATATCCCTGGTTAGCAACAACATGAGGTTAAATAGATGACAGAATTTTCATTTTTGGCTGAACTGTTCCTTTAAGAGGTCTTGCATTTGCACACTCAGATCTAGACTGGCCCAGAGCAGAGGTCTCGAGACAGGACAAATTTAATCTGATTAATTGATTTAAAGATAAACCCCCATAAATCCCACCCAGTAGAGAATTGGTACCAACTGAATCTTTGGCAGGAGACATGTTTACTGGCAAACCCTCTCAAATTAGTGGCATTTTGACAATGTCTGGTGCTGATGTAAATATATCAGGGCTCAACAATAAGTATGCCCCAGATGGTCTAAAGTTTGTTTCAAGGCCAGTGCTTACAGCTTTTGATGTTCCTGGGTTTGATACCATTCAGACGTATACATTTGGTTTTGTGGGATGTAAAACATTGTTTTTGTGATTTTTCTGATTCTAAAATGTCCCCACAGTTAACAGTTTAGTAAGAACATCATGTTTTGCAGCATATGTCATCCAACAAACGTATGCATTCATAACTTTCATAGTTACATTATGGTTAAAAGTCCAGCATAGGGATGCTCCGATCAGGATTTTTGCAGCCGATACCGAATACTGATTTCTAGTCATCATGATCGGCCGAAACGAATCACGATCAATTAAGCTTTATATAAGTGATATTTAAGCTCTCTGTTAACTGTCACTGTTGTTAACCCCTTACACCCTAAAGCTAAAGGCATTGTATGATTTCACGTGATTTCAAATGGCATAATTAAAAGTAATGGCTTATTACATCAAGTACATGGTGGTATTGTACTTGATAGAAAACCTTTCAACTTGTGAAGAAAATAGATTTTGATTATGTTTGGAGGTTCTTATGTTACAACACTGCTGAGAAAACCCCAGAAAAAGTGATGCAATTTATTGATATATTTTGTTATTATTCATGCTTGACATGATGACTATTAGAAAAAAATCAAGCGTGGGCTTCTTCACAGTTTTTTGGATTGGAACCACGGTAGCCTTTTTATGAAAAGTCCAAAAACCTCTTCAAACAAGTGATCTGAGTGTTATACTGAACATAAAAACTACTTACATGTGTAAACACAAAAGAATAAAGCATTACAATGTTAATAAGTAGCCTACATAATAAGTAACAAGTAATAATATCCTGGTTGATGAGTGATGATCTTCTAGTGCTGTTTTTCAGCAGTGTGCTCCTATTCTTTGGCATACTGTAGCTGTAAAACAGTGTCCGATTGGTCTCGACACTGTCCCTACCCACCATACCAGAGATATTAATACAAGCTAATGTTTCATGAAGTTACAAATCAGAACGTGGCGCAAAAGCATCATCCGTCTACTGTTTACATGTGTTTTGGTGGCAACTTTTTATGGTTTTATGTCCTCAAATTGCGATCGGTTCATGAGATCAGCCAAATTAGGGACTACCGATCGAGTCATACTACGGCCGATACCAATCTGTGGCCGATCGATCAGAGCATCCCTAGCGATCCCTAGTTTTTTTTTATTAATTTACCCCCACAAATGAATTTGAATTAATATATAGGCTATATAATAAAAGTTGTTTAAATTATGTTGTCAATTTTGAACTAACACAAGGGAGAGATAGTGCTTCTTTTATTGGATCAAAACAATTCCAAATTATACGTTGGCCTGGAGTCCTGGACGATATAGTATAGTCTATACATTTATTGTCTCTATTATATTTGACTTCATTACACCTTTGAAATTACATCATTAGAGGTGTGTAGTTGGTTTAATGTTAGTTTGTTGTCAGTAAGTCAAAAGTGTCTTTCTACTGTGAAACACAAAAGGAGATTTAAGGCAGAACAAATCATTCACTGTCATTGTGTGGAGAAAAAAAGAAGAAATAAAAGAAAAGGTGGCTGTCATCTGCCTAACATTCCTTTAGTGTTCCACAGAAGAAAAAGTCAAACAGGTTTGGAATGACATCACATTAGGGTGAATAAATAACAGAATATTTTTGGGTGAACTGATTTATCAAGTCTTCCGTGCTTCCATTATATTTGACTTTCAGAAAGACTAAAATCTGTTTGTTTGTTTTTTCACCGGATGCCATGTATAGAATGAGACAGAATCCATGAATCAAACTAAAGAAGTCAAGACTAGCAGCTGGATTCCCCTGAGGCTGTAGCGGTTAACAGTTACTGTAGCCTAGTTTATGTGTCTTGATTCACAGGTTTGACTGTCATGCTCTGAATCACCTGAAGGTAAAACGTGCTCCTGTAAACCCAGTGTGAGAGAGAAACCGCATAATAACAGCCAATGGCTACTGAATATGGAGAGATTTTATACAGTTGGGACATATACACCGTAAAAAAAAATCTGTTCAATTTACTGTGGTTGCCAGAAATTTACCGCATAAAATACAGTAGCAAGACTTTACGGTAGCAAGGTTTTACAGACTTAACTTAATATTTACAGAAATAAACCATATTTCATTATCTGATGTAATGTTAATTTACCGACCTATTGAAGTATTAATATCTGTTTTGTACCATTGTAATACACTGACAGCCAACAATCACAGCAGCAATGAGAGTCAAATGATCAATCAAAGCTCATTATAAACAGTCTTCCACAAGAAAGTTAATATTAATATATAGAAGCTGCACAAGTTCATTCACACTAACATTAAAGACCATCATGGTAACACATTTGAAATTTTAAACAGGCAATAAACATTCATTTAACAACATTAAATGTCACATAAAACCCTAATGTACATAACTGATTAGAAAAAGACTAAGCAAACTATGAAGAAACAGTTATTTCAACAAAAATACATCAAATGCGAAGTGTCACGCAGGGAATTGTGGGAATGTCAATTTACGGTTTTTCACTGTAAATTATACAATGAGTTGTTCATTTTCACTTTCAAAAACTGTAAATTTAACGGTATTTTACAGTAAAATTACATAAAATGTACCATTAGATCTATCACAGTTATTTACCGTATAGTAAGGAAAGGTTCTGTTAACCAATTAACAGTTTTTCACTGTAGCATTTTTTACAGTCTTTTACCGTTAAAATCACGATCATTTTTACATTAATACTATATAGGATATATTTGAACTTAAACGTGTGAGAATTTGTTTGGATATGCCATCTATTTCAATTACATTCAGTTTGACTTAAATGTCTAAATAAATTTTTGTGGGTCACCGTACAGCATTGTAGAATGGGAGCAAATTGACGAATGTTTTTGTAGGGTTAGTTTTGTATCCGCAGCACAATGTTGAGGTTTTTAGGTTCAGTAAAACCTCGGAGCAGGTGGAATTTGCCAAATAATGTGAGGAATGCAGCGGCGGCCTGTAATGTTTTCACAGGTGAGCTTATCTATCTACACTGTGGAACTCACTATAGCAGGAAAAGTGAAGGTCCACAAACACGATAACATCACCCAATAATATTCACTGCAGGATCGGCGACTCATTGTTTGCAAAGTTTGGCGTTAATTTAATTATTACATAATTGCATGTATATATAATCTGACTTGACTGGGCGGATTGTGCAATGTAATGAGCTTTTATTGCATGGCTGAAGTGGGGGTCAAGTTTGTATGAAATATGAGAGCAGGACAAAACCTCATATTCCACCACAGACATCATCAACATTTCTGGACAGTCTAGACATTTTAATTACCTCTGTGTTTCCTTTTTTGCCTTGTTTTGTGTCTTAAAATATGAGAAAAGAACATTAGCAGATATTTCATAATAGAGCTAGTCTTCAGTTATAGCCTATTGTTAGTTTTATTTTGCTTGTTAGTATAGTGCTACTGCTTTGGACATGATTTATATTTCAAATCATGCAGTTTGTTGATGATAGGTGTGCTTTTATTTCTCAAAGCAATCTAACGTATGATTGTCACCTGGCAGACGATAAAATGGCCATAACAATCCCATAGACTTTCATTGCCATATCTATCTAAGCCATATATCAGAATATCTTTATAGCAACTTGTGGCAGTAACTCTCTAGAAACCACATAGGCCTAGTTACTTGGAATACAATAGCAACCGTATAGCAAATCCCTTATTACGTTTGTTTGTGTTCTTTTGCAGATATTCAAAATGAAGGAGCCAATACCTGTGAGAGCAAAGCATCTTGAATAAAAAGAGGCAAGTGTGCGTGTGTGTGTGCATGCATGTGTGTACGTGGATGAGATGTCTGTCCCTGCCAAACAAGAGAGGACAGTGTGCGTCCTTCTTCCCACCAAGGAGACATTGGACATCACAGTGGGGGTAAATAAGCTCTTGTAATGCTTCTTATTTTGATTTGGATCATGTCTTCCTCATGTTTGCATGTGAATCTGTCATTGACCTATATGCACTATGAATGTCAATATGGCTTTATATTGTAATACACTGAATATAAAATGTAATGTTATGTAAAATGTAAAATAATGTTTCTGTACCAGATTCACTGTCAAATCAGTTTTTCTTTTCTTCCAAGCTGAAAGCAACAGGTCAAGAATTGTTTCAACGTGTCTGCGAGCTTCTCGGGGTTAAAGAGCTGCACTACTTTGGATTGACTTTAGTTAAAAGTAAGGATTGATGCTTTCCAGTTAAAGTGTATGTCAGCCTCAGTAGAAATGTGTATTTGTATTGTATGTACTGCGAATGGAAATTGTAACCAAAGTCTTTCACTGAATGCTTTCAAATGCAAATGCAAAAGCTTACATGGTTTCTGGGTTTTGCCCATTCTAGCAATGGATATAATGCACCTGAATGACAGTCTCCAGACGGGTTAAACACCCTAACTTGCTTTTATTCCCAGGGAAATATAAATTAAATCTGTTTAAAACTAATTTTGCATCTAATATTTTCCAGTTGTTTTGCAATTCCATTCAGGCTTTCTCTATTAAGATCTAATCATTCAGTCTCTTTTTGCTCTCTTTTTCAACCCCTTATTCAAAAGCCTCATTCCATTCTCTTGAATACCTTTTTATGATTTTGTGTCACTCTCCTCTCGGACAAGAGTGTCTCTGTTTTTGTGTATTTGAGGGCCGGTGACCCCTGAGGCCTGAAACCGAGCTATATTAACTTTAAGCCTGGAATTCACCATGATTCACCAGTTCAGGGCAGAGAGGCAGCGGGAGAGAGCAATAGAAATTGGCTGAGCATTTAGGAGGGTCACAACCTTGTTGAGATGAACCTCAGCTAGAGAGACAATGAGTCAGAACGAGTTTGAGTCATGTGGCGAGGGAGTTAGCGATGTGAAGTTAGCAGTCATGAAGGATGGATAAGCTGAATGGAATGTGAACTTGCGCTCATTCGTCTTTCTTACCTAAAGTGTACACATACATTTTGAAGACATACAATATCAATGTATTGACATTGTTTAAGTTAAACTTAACACGGATACTCTGAATTCTCGTAATTTATAATTGAAATAATTATTAATACTAAAAATATCAAATAATATATTTATATTATATTCATAATCATTCATTCATTATAAATGTGCCAAAAAAAAAAAAAAAAAACGTGCACATGCGTAATAAGTGTTTAGTCTATAGGTACGCCGCGTTTGATATGTGCGCAGGCGTGTAGTCTTTCTTTACAAATTGACATCAACAAATTACTTGTCTGGCCTTAAAAAATCATAATACAGAATTTTTTGTCGCTTCCGCGTATCCATGTGAACTGGAATCATTTTGACAACGTGAACTAACCATGAGCAATACATGTGTTACTGTATTTGTTAATCTATGTTAACGTCAATTAATGAAAATCCAGCTGTTCATTGTTTGTTAATGATAGTTCACAGTGCATTGACTAATGTGGACCAATACAATGTTTGATTTTAATAATGTATTAGTAAAGGTTGAAATTAACATTAACAAAGATTAATAAATGCTGAAGAAGTGCAGTTCATTATAAGTTCATGTTAACTAATGTAGTTAACTAATGTTAACTAATGAAACCTTATTGTAAAATGTTACCAACTTTTTTTAAATTAAACAATGACTTATTTTACAAATATATTAAATAATAATACTAATACTACATGTTCTTTATATAAATACCGGTAATATATATAACTTTGTAATGTTAACAAATTGAAATTTAGTGTAAAGTATTATCATTTGCATTTTAGATTATATCAATACATTGATATTGTACATTTCCGCGTCTGTCAAAACATTTGATAATGTATGTGTGCTAGATGTTTACGTACACATTCCTACAAACACTAATGAGGTCACATTGGCAAATCGAATAAATCGCACGGACTACTTGAATGAAAAGGATGTGCTAGAAATGTTGGTTCTGAACTCTTTGGAAAAAAACAACAACAAAAAACATTGATTCATTGGTCTTAGCTAAATCTCCTTTCATTTTTCCATTGTGACATTTATTTGAACCATCTTAATTCCATTCTTGCACAAGCTCCCTTTTAGAAGTGTTTACACGATTTACTCAAAGCGCTGGAATTCTTTTGCAATCGCGATTGCTTTGGCATGAGACTGCTAGTTTTTACTGCGGTAAGTTTTGTCTGCGGTTAGGGCTGTTGCATACCGGGCCGTGCGTTCACCAATGGCTGAACTGGTCTTTTCATTCCAGTCGTCTCCCTAATTGAGGTCATTGTTGGGCAGATTTCATGCATGAATACATGATGCCATTGTTTGCATGGCGAGAGCATTTACCCTTGTTTCCTGTGTGTCCTTTCTGGGGCTGTTTTAGACAATGAGCACATCTTTCTGGACTTGGAAGAGAAACTTGCCAAGTATTTCCCCAAGGAGTGGAAACAGGACTCAGGGAAGGTGAGCATATCACTCTCCTGCTCCTAAATGGACATCATTTACTCTGGAATTCACTCTCTTATTTCAATGCATGTCTATTAACACCAAAATCACTATAAAAAGCACCAGAAAGTATCAGGTCCCATGGCAATACCATCATGGTAGTATCATGGTATCCTTGGTTCATCAATGCGCTGTGATATTACCATCTGTTTCCATCACATTATTACTGTACCATGTGTTCCATGTTCCCTGTGGTCATCAGGGCGGTTACAGTAAAGATAAACACTAGTTGGCCATTCGGGATGTGGGAGTGACTTCATAATGAGGGGGTTGCCACAGTAACCTAGTCAAGCCTGTTCTTTCTCTCGGCAGGGGTCGCTGAGGAGGTCAATCCCTCCCCTGCTCTGTCTGAAGGTCCAGTACTATGTGGAGAATGGCAGACTCATCTGGTAAGACACAGGCTTAGAGATTCCCCAACGTTTGAAGGGAGGAAACCCTCTCCTTGGCCTCTTTCCTTCATTAGGTTTAATCCACCAGGGGGTGAGGCCAGTTTGAGTGGGCTTGTGATCTTGGCTTTTATGCGGTTTGTCTTTGAAAGCTTTTTTTTAATTATTATTAGGGTAGAGCAAGTTTCCCCCCTCATTTGGGTGTGGTGTAATTGAAAACTGCTCATAATGAAACTGAATTTAGCTTCAGGTTTTATTTCATGTGGAAAATGACAATGTGGAGGATTTTGAAGACAGTTTGGATAGTCTTTTATTAAATTCCTCTTTAAATTAATTTGTATGTGTCATATTTAGTCTCGCATGCTTATATTGAAGGGATAGTTCTCCTAAGGATTTGTAATCTTGTAATGCACTACCGTAAGTGTAGGGTTGGTAAGATTTTTTTAAATATTTTTGAAAGAAGTCTTTTATGCTCACCAAGGCAGCATTTATTGAATAAATTCAGTAAAAACAGTAATATTGTGAAATATTATTATAATTTAAAATGACAAATAACTGTTTATGTATTTTAAAATACATGATCCTTCAGAAATCATTCTAATATTCTGATATCATTCCAAAGATTCTTTGATGAATGAAAAGTACCAAATATCTTAGAAATCTTTTGTAACATTATAAATCTCTTTATCGTCACTTTTGATAAACTTTGATCATCAATGTCTCCTTGCTGAATAAAAGTATTAATTTCTTTCAAAAATTTTGAATGGTAGTGTATATTAGTGGTTTATCAGCTTCAGTGTGGTATTTTTTTTAAAAATATTGACCATTATATTGATTATCTTATCTGACCATCAGTAGAAATTTTATATTATTAATTACCATGTTGTCAAAATACTAACCCCTTAGCCAACTAAGCACCTTTTATGCTGTATGATGCTTGATTTTACTGCATTTCCAGCATGTGATGTCTCTTATATATGTTTTTTTTAAACATGCAAAAGCATATGATATACAGTATAACATTCATCATAATATCAGTTATCTATAACATAAAAATAATTATTGTCTGATGTTCAGCTGTTTATTTTTTTTGTTCTCAGTGAGCGTAAAGCGAGAAAACTGTACTACTATGACCTGCGGGAACGTGTCCTGCGCTCAGAATGCAGACAGCAGGAGGAAGTGTATTTCCAGCTGGCAGGATACGCCTTACAGGCCGAACGCTCTGACCACCTCAGTCACGGACACCCTATGTATTTCCAGCCCAAAGAGTACTTTCCACCCTGGGTAAATCTTCATTAGAGTGTATAAAGTACAATCACACACATTTGCGTTCAAGCAGGTGATGCTTACTTTGTTTTTAAGTGTAGTAAGCATGTGTTGTATTTTTGGATGCTGGTATGCTGATGTCCCACCAGGCTTCTTAATTAAAAAACTTTTAAGACAACCAGCTTCACCTGAAAGACCATGCTGGTTGACAAGCACCAAACTTGTTATGTTGTTTTTTTTACAGCAGGGGTTTGATTAAAGTTTTTGTAAAACTAATAAAGCATGGTGAGAGCCCACACTCGTTTCATAATCACGCATGACCCGTTTCTGATCTCTTACAGATAATTGCGAAGCGTGGCATTGACTACCTGCTGTGTCACGGGCCCAAGGTTCATAAAGAGCTGTGGGGGATGTCCTCTCGTGACGCTATCCTGCACTTTATCAGAGAATCCTGCCGTCTGGAGGATGTCCCAGTCACCTTTTATCGCCTACAGAAGGTCAGAGGTCATGCATGGTTATCAGAATGGCTTGCTGTAGGTCAAGACCTTCTCAGCTGTGGTATGTAGGGAGAATTTGAAAAATATCTTCATCAAAGTGGAGGTTAAAAGTGAAGTCATTTCTGTACTACTAGTGGAACCAAAGGAATTGCAGTGTGCTTGTTTGAGTGATATTGCAACATTATCTCAAGTTTTGTGAGTTTGGGGCAGAACTGCCTGTTCATCCAAGCAATGTAAAACCAAGAGGAAAACTGTTTGACAGCAGTTATTGGTTTTGCAATTCCAATTTTTTAATTTGCAATTAAAGGTGCATAAATGATACTTTATGAACTGTGAAAATACACTATACACAACTATTCAAATAAAATAAAATAAAATAAAAAGAAATGACTACTTTCATCATGGTTTCCATAAAAATAGTAAGCAGCACAACAGTTTTTTTTTACATTTATAATAATAAGAAATGTTTATTGAGCAGCAGATCAGCATATTATAATGATCTCTAAAGGATCATGTGACACTAAAGACTGGAGTAATGATGCTGAAAATTCAACTTTGCCATCACAGGAATAAATTACATTTTAAAATATAAAAAAATATTTCATAATTTATATTTGAATGTTTTTACTGTAATGTAGCCTTGGTGAGCATAAGAGACATATATTAAAAATGTAAAAACTTAAACTTTAAACTATCAAAGTAGTATACAATAAATATATCAGAATATTTGTTATTTTATATTAGAATATATAACTATATAGATTTGACTCATTTTATTCATATTTAATAGTAATAATTGGTTAAATTATTGATATTTTATAATATTTATAGTATGTTCAATATTCTATATATTCATTTATTAGACAGTGTTTTGATGTGTGTTAATCTCTTTCCTGAAGGACAAGAAAGAAGAGAAAGGCTCAGCACTCCTTGGACTGACTCTCCGAGGAATGCAAGTGTATCAGGTGTGCTTTTGTAAATGCATGTGGTGCTTATCTGTGTTCGTTATGCAGCATTCACATGATTTTATCGTTGGAGGTTATTTAGAGGCTGTATTTAGAATGTAACTGCCTCTGCGTTTTGGCACAAATGGCCATAGCTTTCTGACCACAAATGAGATGTTTTAACAGTAAAAATAAGATGTCATTCTGATTTGACAAAGTCTTGCCACTAAAAACAGAGGAACAACCTGTATATAAATGGCAGCAGTGCAAAAAAAAAACATTTCAGCAGTGTTTGTTGCACTTCACCTGAAATAGTTCCAAAATTTTGGACCTCTTTTTGCTGCAAAACACAAGTGAATGCCCTGCTTTGTTGTGCATCATTCTGTGATTCATTGCAGTCCTGTGTTTTCTCTTTGAGCCGGTGCCAATCACAATGATAGAGCTCTCCAGATAGGCCTGACTGGAATGCATATATTTGACGGCTCAGTCCATAAACAGGGATTTGGAGTGCATGCCTTTCCCTTGAATCCTCTGATCTGCCTGCTAAAGCGTCTGGGGTTGGATTAAACTAAGGGCCCTGTGTTTAAGAGATCAAAGACCCAGTGTGTTGAGGCCCTGACCCCAACCTTTAAATGGGCTCCCCTTCTGCTTTGATAAAAAAAAAACAGGATTTATATTAAACGTCTCTCTCACACTGCCAAATAAGCCTGTATTACATATGATCTAACACATTAAGCTCATAGTGGGAGGTTAGTGTATATATGTTTGTATATTTGTGGCAAGTAGGGTTGGTAGATCTCATTGTTGGTCAGAAAGTTTCATTTTCAAAAAACTGCTGGGACCAAATATTTATTTGTTGGAATGATCTGAAAATTATTTGTAATAGAATAACAAATGATAGAATTCTATAAAAATGGTATTTGAACTAAGGGTTGCACAGACTAGTCGAATAGACAAGTTTATGCTCTGCCATGATTTGTGACGCTTTAAAGGGATACTCCACCTTTTTTTGGAAATAGGCTCATTTTACAACTCCCCCAGAGTTAAACTGTTGAGTTTTTTAGTGTTTTTGAATCCATTCAGCCGATCTCCGGTTCTGGCGGTACCACTTTTAGCATAGCTTAGCATACATCATTGAAGTGGACAAGACCATTAGCATTTCTAAAAAAAAAATGACCAAAGAGTTTCGATATTTTTCCTATTTAAAACTTGACTCTTCTGTAGTTACATCGTGGACTAAGACCGACGGAAAATGTAAAGTTGCAATTTTCTAGGCTGATATGGCTAGGAACTATACTCTCATTCCTGCCTAATAATCAAGAAACTTTACTGCCGTACCATGAGTGCAGCAGGCGTAATGATATGACGCAGCGCCTGAAAATAGGCTACCTTCCGTCAACACAACGGAACTATTTTTAGGCGCTGCGTCATATCATTACGCCTGCTGCTCTCATGGTACGGCAGTAAAGTTTCTTGATTATGCTAAGCTATGCTAAAAGTGGTACCGCCAGAACCGGAGATCGGCTGAATGGATTCAAAAACGGTAAAACTCAACAGTTTAACTCTGGGGGAGTTGTAAAATGAGCCTATTTCCAGAAAAAGTGGAGTATCCCTTTAAGCTTGACGCTGGCTAGTCGCTGATCATGGCCTATAGAGGGCGCAACTGGATAAGAAATATTTGAAGTCCACTTTTACACACCGTTTCCAACAGTTAAAATGAGAAATAAATGCATACTCCGAGAGCGTTCCACTAGATATGTTTGATTATACCATCTGGATGCTCAAAATTGATTGGGCGAATGCACGTTTTAATCAGCTTATTGTACACTTAAGTTATTTGCCGTTCTAAACTAATGCGCTGCTGCATTGTAACGCACACATACAGACAGTAGCTAAGCTGTGGCCGTTTCTGAAACAGAAACATTCAGTAGCGCAGAAACATATTTTCAACACTGTTCTGTGACTTATCAATAAAATAGCTTAGAAACTGAAAAGTTCTAGCATATATTTCTTAGTAACTAAAACCCACAGCTTCACTATTAGTCGAGAGATGCTGCCAGGTTGAATTAATTCACACACAATCGCTCTCTTACTAATGCATTCATATACATATAATCTTTACTGTGCTACTTTATATGTATCCGACTTAAAATGAGCAAAATCTGTGAGAAAAATAACGACCCAAAGGCAAAAGAACTGTTATAAGCTATTATGTAGGAGGAATAGCCTTGCAATGTGTCATATGCCATAGCTGTGCACAAGGCGTTCGAGTCTGAGCTCGAAGTCCAGACTTATTTGTTCATTAATGACATCATCAGTGACTAGTCGACGTCAACTCAACTTTAATCACATAAATGTCTATTTAACAAATATCCCAAGTCGTTCAACCCTTAATGTGTACTGAAGACTTAAATCTTTAGAAAGACTTAAAAAGTACTAAAAGAATCAGTATTGAAATCATAAAGGAACCTGAACCATTTAGTGAAATCAGAATCATTTCATTTTCTTACTTCAGAGTATACCATTTCACTTGACAGATGGCCTTGTTTTTGTTTTATTTTGCAGGAGGTGAACAATGTGCGTGATCTGCTGTATGATTTCCCCTGGTTTCACGTGGGAAGACTCACCTTTCTGGTAACATTTAATGTTACTGCTTGTTTGATTATTATGTCATCATTATGGATTGTGGTGCTTGAACATCTGCTCTGATGTTAAAAGGTCTCTCTTCTGCTCTCTGCACAGGGGAAGAAGTTTGAGATCCAGCCGGATGGTTTGCCCTCGGCGAGGAAGCTGGTGTACTACACGGGTTCAGCTTTTCGTTCTCGACATCTGTTGCTGCATCTGAGTTCCTGTCACCGATTGTATCTCAGCTTGCAACCTGCGCTCAAACACCTGCGCCAGCTAGAGGAGACAGAGGGTGTGTGTCCACACAATATTATTCTCCCTAATATGGCCCAAGGACAATAATGATAAAGATAGCTCTAAAAATAGTTCTAAATATAAAAGAATTGCAGAGTCCACACCACAACTTTAACGATAACGGCACAGAGAAACTATATTGTTGGAAACGCTTTCAGAACTATTGTTTTTCCAGCTGATGAACGATACAATCAGAATCCATCCTGCATTTAAAGCAGCAGACGATAAAATTGCAGCGCGTGGTTAGAATTAACAGAACGATATCGTCCGCTGGTATGGAAACTAATATAGTTATCGGTCTTGGAGTGATCGGACCGTTATAGTATGATTTTGTTTTGTATTTCTTTTTTTTCATGATGTCCAAGATTATTCTCACAAAAAAACATTTGTCACATTTCAGACCAAAATCAAAAGGGGAAAAAAGAAAATTATATTTTGTACATAGAATATGAAGCATTTTTAGGTTCCTAAATGAGGTTTTGCATTGCGACAGTATTTCTCACGACGATTAAGCACATTTCCCCAATTGCCATCACTGTAGTACATCTGGAGTGTGTGTGTAAGCATTCTCATTACTGCAATACATTAATTGTATGTATTTATTTTTGTTGCAATACAGTACCATAACACATAATTATTTAACCATTTTAATAATGTCTTTATTTTCTTTCTCACATTAGAGTAATGAGAAGATTTTTCGATTATAGTAATGAGTATTGGAGAAAAGTTGTCAGTAAAATAATGTCATAATACAAAAAAATTCTCAATGGATGTGGAAAATAGTTATGGGAAAAAAATAAGTTTCATTTTCTTTTAAATCAAAATATTGTTTATTCATTAATATTCTATTTCCTTGACACGGTCACTTCCGGGCTTCTTGATTGTAATTGTGTCAAGCATATGCTTTGAAATGATTTGTATTGTGAAAAGTGTTATACTTATAATTTAAAAATATCTAGTTTATTTTTTCCCTTTAATTCTGTTGAAATAAGGCCTAGAAATGTTCTTGACTGGTTTGTGAGAATCATTACAGGACTGTTTTACCATGTCAGGATGTTTTTCTCTCCCTCTCGGGTTGCAGAGAAGAAGAGGTATCGTGAATCGTACATCAGTGATGAGCTAGACCTGGATCAGCCGTGCAGCGAGGGCAGTCCCCGTCTGTCTCGACACTCCACCAGCAGCTCTGGCATTGAGGCGGACACCAGGCAACGCAGCGTCTCCGTAGAGATGGTTTCCATGGAGGAGAAGGAGAAGTCTTTCATCTCTGCCGTCAGTCACGGCTCCTCTGGGATCGACACAAGCAGTAAAGCTCGGACTGATGAAGATGAGTGGCAGGAGGAAGGTGAGGGTCAAACATGTCCCCCTAAAGTGACACGTTGAAAAAAAAAATGCCATGAGAGGAAAAAATATATTTCAATGCGTTCAATGGCGTTTTCTCGCAATTATACAGTTGGGTAATTATATTGTATATAATTCGGTGGTATCATGGAGTCGCTATCAATATATGGGTTATTGGAATTGCTTTTGAATGCGCACTCGCTTTTTACTTTCACTTTCCAATTCACGATCACGCATACTTTGGGCACACCCCTACTTTGTGGCTGTTTTGCAACAGAATAAAATGCCACTCTCATCAATTTGACATGTTCTGCTCACTCTGCTGACAGATTGACATTGCAGGGATTCCTCAAATATAATGCTGGAAAGACATGTTGTTCAAGTTGTTTAGTCTATTTGCTCAACCAGCTTGGCGCACTTGGAAAACAGTCATTGTTTTCATTCTCTTAAGATGTCACGTTCGCACTGACAGTGAGAGTGTTTCTAAACCTTTAGGTTAAGCACAGTTTAAGCTAGACTGACAGTTTGTGATGGAATCTGAATGTAGATTTGCAGGAGATGGTGAAGGAGCCCGGGGAGGTTTCTGTGGACGGCCCTGTGGATATCTTGCGACTGGCTGAGCTACTGGAGGGCGTGTCTGTCAACTGTCCTACCATCCAATCAGAAAAAGAGTTTAAAGGTGATGCCTCAAAAAACACTCAATTTCATATGGGGTTCTAAATCCGACGCATCCAAGCTAACTTCTGATCATCTGATCTACATCATTCCATCTGATTCCGATTCACTCCAATTCTCTTGGTTTTCAACATATGCTGTGGTGAAGTTACTGAATGCATCAGAAATGTGTAAATCATGTAGGGAGTCCATGCAAACCACTATTGGCAAGTGAGGGATTAGTGCAAGATTAATGTAATTATATGATAATATATTTATAATATAATTCTAGTATAATTTTATATTTAAAATATTATATTATGCAATTAATTAATTTATTTAGTTTATTACATTTTATTTATTTAGTATTGAGACCCTCGCATCTGTATGTCAAACTGCCAACATGACATCATGACTTTGCGTAAACATACACGCCACTTTCAAGTCAAGTGGCGTGTTATCTATACGCATTTTGAGCTATCCGCGTGTGTGTCCACGCCGAAATTAACCGTCATCTTTTGCGTGTGTATGTGTACGCCGTTAAATGTCCGAGTGATTCCGCGTGTATGTACACGCCGTTAAATGTCCGAGCGAAACGAAGCAAAATGTATATTTACATCTGTGGAGCAATATTTTTTTTCCTAGGATGGTTGGGGAAGACTCATAAATGGTATTAACCCCAGTGACGGGTAGGTTTAGGGACGGGGTTGGGGTAGGTCATATATTTATATACACAGTAATGTAACGTTAAGTCAAGGCGTTGATAAACACGCTGAAAAGCGATTATGCGTGTTGATAGCACGCCAAAAATGGAAATACGAATTGGCGTGTGAAACTGCTTATTACAATAACCCTTCCTCCTTAATATATCCAATAAGTGAATGGAGTGTCCTTTATTTATTCATGGGTTCAATTGGAAGCCAGACGCTCTAAAAGATGGACGAAACCATACTTTTATGATCCACTGGTAGCATGGTGTAAATCAGTTTAGGGTGCACTGTTTGTTTTTTTGTCTTTCAACTATGTACACTACAGTTCAAAGGTTTGGGGTCGTTACAAATTTTTATATATAGCCTATATATATTTTTGAATGAAGTCTCAAACCAAGTGATCAAGAAACATTTCTTATTATTATCAATGTTGAAAACAGTTGTGCTGCTTAATATTTTTGTGGAAATTGCCGTGATACATTTTTTTCAGGATTATTTGAGAATTTATTTGAATTTTTTTTAATTATTTACTGTCACTTAATTTGATCAATTTAATGTCTTTATGTCTGTTCTTTAAATTTTTTTTGAATTGTTGCTTGTACAACTTCTGTTAACCGGTGTCGTGTAAGCGGCCCCTAAATGAATTACTAATGATTTTTACAACGGAAGTGAATCAATCAAAAAACGTACTTTAGCTGGACAATAACTTTTTTTCTAGCTGCTGTAAAACCAAAACAATCTCTGTTCCATTAATTTCCTATTATCACTGTAAAGCTACTTTGAAACAATCTGTATTGTTAAAAGCGCTATATAAATGGTGACTTGACTTGACATCGACCAAAAATCAATGTGTCAAAATGTCGGATCTGTGCATTAAGCCTTAACGTATAATTCAGTTACCCTTTTTGACATACTTAGTTGTTAGTAGTACATACTGTAAATCAATACTTTGCCTGTAGTCTTTGGTGAGAATATAAATCTCATCCTCCTGTTTCCAGGTCTGCAAATGAGTTCAGTTACAGGCGACGTCCAAATGGACCTTTGTGACCCAGATGGCATGAAACAGGTATTCTGTCTTCTCCCATCTTTCTCTTTTCATTCTTTCATCATGCCACTACAGTAATTGCTCTCATCACCCATTGCAGGTTTCGAATCAGAAGACTCGTAACCCGGCCGACCGCTACAGTCTGAGCCTGGACGATGTGCGACTGTATACCCCTCTTCTCCCGCTGGGAACGGCATCAGTTCCAGACACCTCCGTCAGCTACACGTTTGGGCTCCCACACACCACGACCAGCCCATGTCCAGAAAAAACTACTTTCTGTGTCCAGCGCTCCACGAACTGCCTATCTCTGGACCTGCTGGACGATAACCAGCTGCTGGAGCTTCTTCTATAAGACACTGAGAAGACTGCCGCTTTCTGTTGTCTCCCTGTTCATGCCATTAAACCGGACTGCAAAATGAAAGCAAAACAGAAGCATTAACAGGACACATTTTCAACAGGACTTTTCATTAAAACAACCTTACACTTAAATGTGTTTTCTATGCTGTTCAACAGCAGGACAATATGAACAATCGTGGGTTGTTTTACAAATTATACATGCAGAACGTTTTGTTGAACTTTGTACAGAATTTGTTCATGGATAATCTTACAACGAGCAAGGCATTACGGCACTAACACTGTGTCCTATAAAGGTGTGATGCAAAAACAACTAATGATAAAAAATATATTTCTTCCATGTAAATTCTAAATGGTCGTAACCACAATGAGCAAAAAGAAGCCCCTCCCATTGTGAACTTTCATTGATCCAAATTTTGTTGTCCATGACTGTGTACTAAACATCATCGTGGACACCTTGTTAAGACATAGTGTAACAGTTATGCTACAAAGTTTGTGGAGGGACTGAATTAATACAGACAGAAGCTGCCAGAATAACCAGTTCTCTAATAGGAAATCTTATACTCATGCAATTTAAAGCCACGTTCCTTTGAAGTCGGCATGAAACGAAAGATGCGATATTCTTTTCTTCCCCATTGTGACGTATATCATAGTCAAACGGCTTGTCAAACGGCTTATCAAACTAAATAAAAATGTAGGGCGGGACTTGATTTTGTCTGTTGGGTATTGATTGGATCGTTGGATGGTTGTGGTTTGCTATTGGTCGATCTCATGTGACTGACAGGTTGTCCCGCCCTCACGCCAGTAAACACATCATCAGAGAAGAGAAGAGATTCCGCTGCAAGAGGGAGGGGAATTTATTATGATTAAAGATTACAAGGGCACACAAATCAAATAAAAAAATGAATTTAATGAAACAATTTTGATTTCTTGGTGGCTTTAAATAAACACTTGTAACTTGGAGTTTGTCTGGCCAGAGATTCCCTTAATGTTGGAGATTTTTACAGGTGCATCATTTCTGTCAATACATAAACTCATTCAGCCATGTACAACAGTGCAGTGGTTAATATCAAATCATGACACAAGAGTTTGTCTACTGCATTTCGAGTCATGCTAATCTTGTTCCATCATTCAAAGACACTGAACTTGCACCGCCTGATCTCCTGTTTCAAAGAACCATTGTGTACAGACAATACTCATGTTCCCAAATTACAAAGCATGTGTGAACCCGCTCAAACCAATAATCAGGATTAGAAAAGAAAGCTAAAAGGTCAAACCAAAATATTCCATGTGTGTTTTTTGCCGGTGATATGTTCTTTTCCTAAGTAATGAACTGCGATGAACTTCTGTAACGTTATGAACAAAGATTATTTCGCTTTATATATAGATCAATGTTTGTTTTGTTCCGGATACATGGAGCTCTTTTGATTTTGATAATTACAAAATGCACATCAAGCCCTCAGAGGTTGTGTACATAATGCTGGGTGTCATCTATGTATTCATCTATGTATTGTAAACACGCATCCTATTAAAAGCATGTGTTTCTTTCAGTGAAAGGAAAAAAAAAACACTGAGAATGAATAGTATAAATAAACTTAGCTGGAACCTGTCAAGTTTTCCCCAGTTTCACAGAGACGAGGCTTAAACCTAGTCCCAGACTAAAATGCTTGTTTTAGTTGTTATAACTGAAAGCAACTTGCACTTACATATCTTAAAATATCAGTGCCATTGTTTTGTCTCAAGATGCAACAGTGTTTTTTTCTGAGATATATAAAGGCTACTTAAATGTCATAATTAAATGAAGGCTTAATCCTGACTTAATCTAAGGCCTGTCTTTGAAACCAGGCCATTGTGTGTTTTTTTTTTTTAAAGGTGTATTATATATAAATATAATAAACTGATAAAGGCAATTAGCATAACCATAAGAGTTAGTGATATGATTGGTATAAATAGTATTTAACTCCTCACTGTGTATTTTCGGTTTTCTATTATAATTATTTAGGAGTAAATTATTGACTAGAAATATTATATTGCAAAAAAACGTTCTGAGATTTGAATGAGATTGTTGGTGGATTCGATGTCCGATTCCTGAAAGATTGTTCTTTTGAGTCGAATGGTTGTTTTAATTCTTGGGCCAGCTGCATAAACTGCTAAGACTAGTCTTACAAATTAGTCATCAAATTTATTTCTTTAAGACTGTTCAAAACTTTTTTTCCAAGTCAGATACATAAAAACGTACATTAGCCAAATTTGATACCGAAAAGTAAGACTGACTGTCTAACTGCTAGGTCATACTAGATCTTAAGACACTGTCTTGACATAATGGCTGTTTATGCAATTGATTCATGCTGTTCTGTCATCCTTTAACCAACTCACCCTCATGTCATAGGACTTTCTGAATGTTTTTTCTCAATACCTCAATACAATGGAAGTCAGTGGTAAACAAAACTGTCTGGTTACCAACCACTTTTTTCCAAATATCTTCTTGTGTTCAACAGAAGAAAATCAGTTGGAGGTTTAAAATGAAAATGAATACAGAATTTTAATTTTGGGTGAACCATCCCTTTAAGAGCTTATTGATGATCCATTCTGAATCAGTCCGAATAGTTCGGCTGCGTCCGAAATCGCATACTCTCTTAGGTATTTTGAATAAGTACTTTGTGACCACTAATAAATTATGTTCTGTATAGTGAATGTGTGTAGTATGAATGTAATCTGGATGTACTACATGCATGTTGTCATCATGTCATGTGACCTACCAGCGTCAGTTGCATCGCTTTACTCCCATTCACAAATCCTCCCCTGTGGCCTCATGAGATAGTAAAGTGTCCATTGGCACTATGCACACTTCAGAATCTCGTGCTTGGAATACACGGTTGACCTACTATGCCAGAATCTGCTATACAACTCAAGAACTGAAATCAGTATGGAAGCTGTGTTCAGAATGGCATAGACTATGGCTGCGTCTGAAATAGCATACTCTCTTAAGTATACTTATTTAGAATAAGTAATTACTTAACGACCGCTAAAAAGGTATGTTCTATATATCTTGAATGTGTGTAGAATGAATGTAATCTGGATGTACTACATTTGCCATGTTGTGATTATCATGTGACCTACCAGTGTCAGTTGCCGCTTCACTGCCATTCACAAATCCTCTCCCGTGGCCTCATGGGAGAGTAAAGTGTCCATCATATGCACACTTCAGAATCTTGCCGAAAGTAGTAGGTCAGCCGGGTACTTTTTGCCAACTGTTTTATGAGTACCTACTGTGAAATCGGACATAGTTCTTTTGTCACATACTGTTTTTCACCTATCTAGTAGGAAAGTATGTGATTTTGGATGCAGCCATCCATACAACTCCTACTATATAACAGTTTGCAATGTGTATAATAGTATGGAATTTTCTGTATGCATGGAATTCCCGGATTACCGACTACATTAGCTGAAATCTGATGTATGCATGAGGACATCTTTGTGAATTGTGAAGAGCGGTGGGAGTGAACTGGAGGCGGGAAATAATTATAAATGTAACACTTTTATAAGTGCACATACACATGTTACTGTAAAGTTCAAACTCCCTGATAGCACATGTAGCCTACATCACGGAGACGTCTATTTGATGTGTGTGTTTACATCTGGAAGACGTTTGCTCATCTGCGATACGTCTATGGGACGTTTCCTGTCAGATTTCAAATAGACGTTTAAAATTGTCTTTAAGATGTTTATGATTTAGAATGTATGTAAAACTGACATCTTAAAGACGTCTATCAGATGTTAGTAAACAGCAGATGCTTTCCAGATGAAGTGATCTTTAACAGACATGAAGATGTGCGTGTGCTACCTATAGCTGTATTTTCGAAAACACTGTACTTTTATCAAGTCGCCTTTATTTATACAGCACTTTATACAAATTTAGACAGATTTCAAAGCAGCTTTGATAAACAGGAAAATAATGATACAGTGATGCAAACAGTTCAAGGCTTAAGAGCTCTAAAAAGACAATTAACCATGTCATTGTTCAGCTGTTTAGTGCTATTCAAATCCGTCCAATAAGTCTAAAGTTCATCAATTATGAAATTAGTTCAATTCGGTTATAAACATCGTTGTTCAGTGGTAGCCTACGATCAACTGAACCCTAAATTAACGAGAGCCTTAGACCAGTGGTTTTCAAACCTGTCCTGGAGGACCCCCAACACTGCACGTTTTCTTTGTATCCCTAATCAAACACACCTGATTCAACTCATCAGCTCATTATCACATGGGTTAATGAGCTGATGAGTTGAATCAGGTGTGTTTGATTCGGGAGACAAAGAAAACGTGCAGTGTTGGGGGTCCTCCAGGACAGGTTTGAAAACCACTGCCTTAGACCACTATTTAGCTATTTACCGTATAGCCTAGCCGTTCAAAATTAACGTATCTTTCTTTCTCATTTTTGCGTTCTCATCCCGAGTTAAACAGGGACAATTATCCCAAACGATAGGAATGGATTACGATCGCACCAAGTCAAGTGTATCCGTAGCATGCTGGCCATAAGTTTTAAGGAGCACAGATATTGGCTTGGAACAGAGTTATAGGGGTTTCTTTTTGTTATTAAAAACGAACAAGCAAGCGTATATCGCAGCCCACCCCAGGTGAGAAAAACTATAACACAAACGTAACGTAACACTACTTTCCATAAAAAGTGATTAAGGCAACTACTTAGTTTACTTTTTAGGGAGTAAAGCAAATTACTTTGAAAAGTAGGCTAATTGTCCTTTTAAAAGTAATGCAAAATTAAAAGTAAGTTTCCTTTTAAAAGTAATTTTATCCAACACTGATGCCAGGTTGTCCAAGAAACATATCCAATTAACCCACCAAGCATGTTCAAAGAATGGCATTCTTGTAGAAATTTGGCTGCTGATCTGTACGTTATAAAGTCTGCTAAAAAAAATGCAGAGTCCTGATCTTCCTTCCACATATAAAATAAAAATAAACAGCATTTTATTAAAACTGGCAAAAACTTTACGTTTAGTATAAACTCCACCAATGTAAAGATCAGGTAAATTGTAAATATGCAAATAAGAAATAACTAAAAAAAGGATGTTTTGTCAGACCTCCCGTTATTAGCCACCACGCGCCCCCTGCTGGCAGCAACTTTGCTCACACAGCGCATGCGCCGATCGTTTACGTAATATTTCAGGAAGTAGACACACCGGTTCACACGTGTGAAGAAGGCAAAACATCGAACCGGATTTTACTATTTTGACGAATGTTTTTTATCTTATAAGGGAGATGTCTAATTTTTTGATAAACACCCTATTGTCCCACTATCCCGATCCCGAGAATTTGATCAATAATTTGTGCTGGCCAAGCTCATCACGTCCCGAAATAGAGGAGATTGAAGCTTTAACTATTTTGATCAAGGAGCTTTCCAATAAATCACAAGAGGAGCGCTTTATTTGTAAGGTGCAGTC